GGTATCGATACATCATATCTGACGTGTCTGTTGAGTTAAGGAAGTATCAATACTCTAGGTTGAGTATCACACTAAAGGTAAAAGTATACTTTTCTTTTAAACAGAAATTTGAACTAGAAAAGCTAGAAAATTCAGGTTTTGCGATTGGTTTAAAACCACCGTTCTAAAACCTATCTTTTAGACCAAAAGTGCGTTTAGACTGTATTATCAAATAAACCCTATGTATTTTTATTTATGAAATCAATCTATTTTTTCTTGTTTGACATCCTTCTCGTCATTTTTTTGTTATCAATTATCATTTTTGATGCAATTGGTACTAAAATATTCATTTTTCTCCTCTATTTATTATTCGTAGTTTAGTTTTCTTTAAAATCTCCTTGAAATCAACAAAACTCAAATTAAAGCTTTGATGTTATCTTCATCTGATATGCAATCTCCACCATCTAATCATCATGGAATTGAGATATATGGTTTTTCTCATTATTTTTGATATCCCATCGTTTGAGTTTGAAAAAAGTACCTAAGCATCTCGTGATAAAAGGGAGTTTGAAAATTTTGAGTTTGAAAGGAAAGTTGTAGGTGCTTTTTTATATAAATTCAATAAGATTTAATTGATGTTAGATGTTTTACAGTCGAGTGATTTAAAAATGAAATTCGGAAGTTGGATGTTAAAAATATAAAATTAGGTGACCAAAATATTAACATAATAAAAGTTAAGTGACAATGTGTAATTTACCGTTACTTTTATTAAGGTTATAGATCTCAACAGAAGAAACGTATTAAACTTCCACCTTATTGTTCATGCTTCTTATGAGCATGCATGCATGCATGCAAAGACATGTAAAAGAAACGTAATGAACTTCTAAATTGTATTGCCCGTACTTCCTAAGAGCTTGCATGCAAATGACATGGTAATGGACATAAAAACATCTATTTTTTTTTTTAATTTTCTTAAAATTAACTTTCTTTAATAAAAAAATAAATTTTTATTTACTTGAAATGAACAAAATGGTACTTCATATAAACGTATCGAGTGTCAATTATAACAACTTTCTCATATACTGAAAACCCTATCAAGCATTTCAAGAAATAATGTATCTTTACATTATTTCCTAATTTCTATTCTATCGTGTGGGTTTTAATTGTTTGGTGAAAAAAAGAGAAACCAATTCACTAAGTTTTGCAATTTGTTTTATTCGAATCCTAAAGTTTATCACTAATTCTTATAATATATTATATAAGAAAATTCTACAACGCTCGACGAGTACTGATGAGCATCACTAACGATGAGCATCATTAATTTAATTTATAAAAATTTTAAATTTTAAATTTCTCAGCGTAACAATAAATTAGTTGAAAATTTAAAGATAAATTATTTAAAATAAAAGGTCAATTATACCAATGACCACCTAAACCTAACTATTGCCCCTTTTTATTTTGACCATCATTTTTGAAATTTTGTCAATTAGGTCACTCAACTATTTAAATGCATTCAATTAAGCAACTTGCGTTAATATTTAACAGAAAAGTTGGTATAGCAGTTAAAATATTTGATATTATTACACATTTGGTCCATATAACTTATATATTCTATTAATTTGGTCCTAATTTTAATAAATTAAAATAGTCTTAACCGTCAAATCAAATGGTGCCAAAGTAGTCTTTATTCATCTTATTCTTACAAATTGTAGGGGAAAAAACAAGAAAGAAAAGAAAAGAAAACTTACAAAAAATTTGATTTCTATTTTGAGAAATTTTAAAAAATTAAATATCAAAAGCTTTGATTTCAAAATACATATGTATTAAGTAAAATCAAAATTTAAACTCTTAAAAATTAATCCAAAACAATTAGATTTTATTTATAATGCGGTGAATTAGGTAAACATAAAGTTATAACACTTGGATAGTTGAATAATAAAAATAAATATTTTTAAACAAACGGTCTAAAAGTAATTACAAAATAAAATAAAACATCTAATTTAAACTCCTAAAATCATTGAAAGATATAATTTAAACACATGAATTTGTCACACTAATTGTCTTGCATGTATCAATGTAAAATATATTATTTTAAGCTAAAAAAACGAAGAACATGGAGAAATACTAGCACGTCTCATCACAAAACATTGGCATGTTTATTTTATTTTATTATTGAAAATAATAAAAGATGATAAAGAGAAAATAAAAATTGTATTCGCTGACATTAAATTGGATTCCTCTCCAAATAACTACTTTGGAATATTTGAGGGTTAAATTTATTTTAATTTATTAAAATTAGGACCATAGAATATATAAGTAACAATGATTAAATGTGTAATTATATCAAATATTTTAACGTCACATCAGCTTTTCCATTAAATATTAACGACAAATGATTTTATTGAATGCATTTAAATAGTACTTGAGTGACCTAATTGACAAAATTTCAAAAATGATGCTCAAAATAGAAAGGGACAATAGTTAGTGGTCATTTGTATAGTTTACCTTTTATTTTAAATAATTTACCTTTAAATTTTAAACTATTTTATAATTATATGTTGAGTCCTTTAAAATTTTAACGTTTAATAAAAATTAATTTATCGATGCTTATCATTAGCGGTGCTCATCACCGCTCGTCGAGCGTGGAAGAATAATCCTATTATATAACATTTAAATGTATTAATATATATATATATATATGGCGGATCCACGTTTTATTGATCCTAAAACTAAAAAATGATTAATAATTTATTTTATTAATGTTATCTATTCTAAAATTTTATTTATATCCGTGGGTTAGAAAAATCATTTTAGGTGTCAAGTTTAGAAAAAAAAAATTATTTTGTGGTGCCAAATTTAAAATCATATGAAGGAAAATTTTTAAGTGGATGAAAATAACTAATGAGTGTCAATTTATGTTTAGGATGTCGATATTCTTTTAAAACATGTGTTAATTTTATTTTATTTTAAACTTTTTATATTAATTTATGAAAAAATTATTTTTTCAAAAAATATTGGGATATCATATGGCATCCCTCATTACGTACTAACTCTGCTAACGTACCCATTATATATATATATCGTTAATTGTTGTTAAAATATTAACGAAATATTTTTTATACTATTACTCAATCACCTAATAAGAGCCACCCAGAAATCCAAATGTTTTATCAATATAAAATTTATATATCAACTTGACGTGGAAGACACATATTTTTAAAAAGAGCCCATAGCGTCACTTTAACGAAAGCATTCATTAGTGTTATCTATTTGAACATATCAATAACATTATAAAATTAATTATAAGATCAAATTATGTTAAACAAAAATAAAAAATAAATCTCAAATATCAAGGGGCTAAAACCACAATTGAACCAAAAAAATGCGGGGAAAGGCAAGGGGCATGCCGATAGGGGAAGTTGATGACAGGCCGGTGGTTTAATTTGTCACAGTCATAATTTAACTTTGATTAATTTATTTAAGTCTCTACCCTTTAATTAATGATAGTTGTACCATAAATGTAGATATTAATTAGTGTGGTTAGGAGATATAATTGAATTGGGGCCACCATCTACCACAACATACGTGGTTGGACCTTGTCATATTTATATAATTCAATATCAAATATATGATCTATATATTATTTGATGTTAATGAATTTTTTGCATTTTTCTCAATTCATTATTTTATTAAATATATTTGCAAAAAGAAATCGATAAAAAAAAAACTTACAAACATATGTTTAAGACATTAATAAAATCTCATATGTGTTTACTAAAATTTTTTGTATTAATCCAATAATCGATCACTGCTCGCAATTGAATAAAATAAACAAGTTTAATCCATATGTTTTTTACATTTTTGTGAAGTCATAATAATATTTATCATATTTTTATTGATAATCGGTCCTTATAATTTTAGACTTGTTACAATTAGACCCTTATCCCATAATTTATTTTATAATTTCAGACTTGTACAATTAGGTTAGTTAATAAAATTTTAGCCTCTAGGACTAGAGTTTTTGAATCATGTCCTTAGTTGATAAAGTTGGTTAATAATTGGGCTTCATACTGGGCTTCGTATTTTAAAATTTCTTCGATTTGACTCTTACTATGGAATAGGTTCACATTTTGTCTTTAATTTCTTAATTGCGTTCAATTTAATCGTTAATGCAAAATTGATTAATAAATTTAACTTTACTCTTTTAATCGATTATAATTAGACATCAATTTGAGATTCTAAACCCCTATTTTCTAATCATTTGCAATTTTATTTTTAAGAATGTTTGTTATTTTATTTATTTAGTATTTATTCATTCATCATTTTTATATATATTTTATTTTTTGGTGTGCAACTAGCCCCGTCCTTTTAATCATTTTTTTAAACGATGTAACATTTTTAGGTATCAATTTTGGACGTTGTGGCAATGTTTCAATCTTTCCACTTGTAATTGACTCTCAAATCCAACTATGGTCCTAATATAAACACAAATCAAATTTACGGATATTTGGTTATACCTATCTCAAAACAATCGATGACAACTCTAATTACGTGACAAGCTCCTCAATGACTCAAACGTTCAGACCAACATGAGATTATTTTGACATGTACAACAATTAATTTAAATTATTAAAATTATTTGTTATTCACTAAAGTTAAGGGTTGAATATGATATATAATATTTATAAATTTTGGTTAATTCGGTCAACTGATCAATTAACCTACTTAGTTCAATTCTATTAATTTTTTTTCGGTCGATTAACCGAATTAACTGTTTGAACACCCCGACGTACATACATCACAAAGGAAATTTTTTATCATTTTTAAAAAAAAAATTCAACGCTCTTACTTGGAGAAGAAATTAAAATAAATTAAATTATAGTACAAACTCTAATAGTACAATAATAAGTATTGTACTATACATTTTAATTTCCTAAAAGTACTAAAATTTGGGGTATTACTCGCCTCCTTAAATCATCCAGTTCATCTCCCTTAAATTCAACGCTAATTTCCACCCAAAAAACACTACACCAATCTCCATATAATTTTCACGGTCCTTACACAATGAATCGTGATCATGGCATGGAAGGCATGGCACCGACATACCCATCAACCAACGGAACCTTTGGGATGCATCCCCACAAAATGATGATGATGCATATGAGCTTCTTTTGGGGAAAAAATGCCGAGATCCTCTTCTCCGGCTGGCCCGGTCGTCACGGCGCCGGTATGTACGCTTTAGCCTTGATATTCATCTTCTTGCTCGCTTTCCTTGTCGAATGGCTCTCGCATTGCCGGCTGATCAAGCCGGGATCGAGCGATAATGTCTCGGCTGGTATTAAGCAGACGTTGTTGTATGGGATTAGGATCGGTCTTGCGTATTTGGTAATGCTTGCTGTCATGTCTTTTAATGGCGGAGTGTTTTTGGTTGCGGTTTTGGGTCATACGTTGGGATTTCTTTTGTTTGGTAGTAGGGTTTTTAAGAAGAATACTGACATGTTCGATTGTAAAACATCTGATCTTCCTCCTATGAGCTGTTGATTAATTTATGTATCTTCTTCTTTCTCGTTTTATCAGATTTTATATAAAATTATGTTTTCTTTTAATCATTTATTGTAATGCAAATGTTCCCAAATCATTTAGGGTCTTTTAAGCTATGTTCATAATAGAATATTTTGTTTAAGCTAGTAACAAAACTCCACATTTTAAGGGTTAATTTGACATTGTTTTTGAAAAGTATATTAAAAAAATGATGTTAGAAAATATTTTTAAAAGCGATTTTGAAATGTTAAGTTTAAAATTCTAGTGTTTAGTATTGTTATCCAAAAGTAACTTTAATAAGATAAAATGTTCCTTTTAAACGTTATATTATAAATTAAAAATATATTAATTTAATTTTTTAATATTTTTATTATATAAAATATACCAAATTAAATTTATAAAAAATACAAATGACAAATATAATTATAATAAAAATATAAAATGAATTTAAAAGTTTTTTCTTGGGTAAAACATAATTACCATATAATTAATACATAATTTATAAAACAATTGAATTTAAAAAAAATTGGGTAAAGGAGCAGAGCCCATGCATCTCACTAAGGCTAAAATCATAACTTTTCTTCTAAACGGAAATTTGAACTGAAAAAACTAGAAAATTTAGGTTTTGCGTTTGGATTAAAACCACTGTTCTAAATGCACTTTTACCTTTAAAATTTAGCCGTTTGGTTATGATTTTACTTTTAGACCTGTCTTTTAGACCAAAAGTGCGTTCAGACAACATTAAATAAACCCTAAATAGTTTTATTTATGAAATTAATCTATTTTTATTGATCGACATCCCTCTCGTTGTTTGTATGTTATCAACTATCATTTTTTATTAAATTGATACTAAAATATTCCTTTTTTTTTCTCCTCTGTTTATTCTTCTTAGTTTAGTTTTCTTTAAAATCTCCTTGAAATCAACAAAACTCAAATTAAAGCTTTGATGTTATCTTTATCTGATATGCAATCTCCACCATCTAATCATCATGAAATTGAGATATATAGGTGAAGACACCAGATTTTGTCCTACCAATCGATGAGTCTTCATGTAACCAACAAAGAAGAGTTGGATTATGACTCAAATATTAGTCTAAAATAGAGTTGGATTAGGACTCAAATACTAGTCTAAAATAGGGTTTTTTTAGTACTATAAATAAGACTTGTAATTACCACACCATAACACACAGGAGTTACACAAAAAGAATGCCAGAAAAATACGAGCAAAGAAAAAGTGATTTCGAGGCTATTGTAAACGATTCGAAGTAATAAAGGTGAAAGTTTTTTTTTATCTTTCGTTTGTTTCACTTTACTCTTCACTTGCATACATTGTTAATCGCGTTTTCTTTGCTTGAGAACCCCAAAGACAAATGTTTTAGCCGATAACCCGGAGGGAGATTTTCGAAACTTTGATTTCAGATCTACGTTCTCTAGAGGCTATTTCGCAAAAACAAATTACATTTTTTGAGTGAGAGTGCGAAAATCTATAAAAAAAATGAAAACTTTTTTTATTTTTGCCGGTTTTAATCTTTAATGTTCTTTGATATTTGCCCACTGATTTAGCTTTTATTTCAATTTAATCCCCTACTAATATCATATATGTTTACTTATATTTCCATTATTATTATTATTTATTTCATTTATACTTTATTATATATATATATATATATATATATATATATATATATATACTTTGATTTTCATATTCTTTATAATTTCTTTTATTTATTTTTTTATTTATTACTATTATTATTATTTTTTTATTTTAATACTTATTATTACTATTATTTTTTATACCTTGTTTATAAGTTGTTATATATATATATATATATATTCATATAACTAGTATTATTACTATTTATTTTTGCTATTAACGTATATATTTATATTTTTATAATGATCATTATAATTGATATTACTATTTTACTTTTAACTTACATTTTTTTTATTTTTTTATGTGATTGTTTTTTTCTTTTCATTTATTTTCTATTTTCTTTGTATTTTTCTCATTATTTTTATTGTTCTTGTTTTTATTATTAGATTCGTTACTTCATTCTTTTTTCTTGTTTATTTTTACTTTTACTTCTTTTATTTTCTTATTTTTTTATCTCATTTTGTTTATTCGTGTTATTTATGTGTTTTCTTTGTTTTATTTATTTACTTTCATTGTCTTTTTCCTCTAACGTGTTTCTCGCCTTTTTTTAAAAGGGATACTTTCAAATCGAATTAGGGTAAGTAATTTTGGATCGTAATTTTACCTTTTGAGTTAAACTTTCAATTTTCTTACTTAATGACAACTGGAAATTACGTAGTACCGAAAGGGCAGTTCAAGGGTACTAACCATTCCTTGATTGTAACCGACTCCCGAATCCGACATATATCTGGTAAGACGCAGATCAGATAAGAAATAATGTATCCGATCAACCCGATTTTCGTAAAGTAAATGATCGGTGGCGACTCCCAATTCATTTAATTCACGTCGAAGCCCAATTCTGGGGCCCAACCGAAAGAAGGTTACGACAGCTTGGCGACTCCGCTGGGGACAGGTAAGTGAGTCAGGCTAAGGTAATTTCCAGTTGTCTTTTAACGAAAAATTGTAAGTTTAAATTTTAAGGTAACATTTCGATCTTTTTTTACTTACTTTTGATTATATTTTCGGGTAAATAGTTGTACTAATCGTTTTCTCGTGATTTCAGCCTTCAAATCTTTTTCATTTAAGGCTCTATACTCGAGCTCCAAACCCTGTCTTAAGTGGGGGTGAAAGCGACGCCTTCGTGTGAATTTATTTACCGTGCAGGCCTAACAAGTAGCCTTCAGGATTCATATAGCTTATGTCTTCGTGTGAATGTATTCACCGTGCGGACATAAGGGAATGTGTCCTCTCGAGTTTAACTTAGTCCACACAAGCCTGTGATGGGTTTAGAACTAAGGGTCTGGCAAGCCCAAGGGGGCACCGGCAAGGAGAACTGGGGTATCGTTTTTAGAACCTAAACCGAAAAACCATGGAGAATTAGAGCCTACCCCGAAACCATATTCCAAAACCTAGGATATTTTTACCCTAACCATTTTCTTTTTTGTGTTTTTTTTCTTCATTTTTTTTATTTTTATTTTACTAATCATTTTGCCTTTGTGTTTGTTTTCTAGCATTTGCATCATAACAAGAGACTATTGATCCTTAAAAAGCATTTGTTAAACACAAAATAAATCCGAATTAATGGAAAAAGGTGTTGTAATACAAGAGATTAAAAACGCTGAGGCACGACTATGGTCCGAGAAGACTCAGAAAGAGAATGGAGACAGTTTTCAGGGAAATTATGTGTCAGAGCTTGTTAGTTACGCATCTGTCAGCCTGAAACAAAACGATGTCCAAGAACTGCGAAATATTTTGGACAGTTGGGGGAATGACAGAAAGTATAAGTTCATCCAACGATATGGTGATATTGCCCTCTTACTCCATGTCAAGACTGATGAACCCCTGCTCCGAGCATTAATTCAATTCTGGAACCGGGGATATAGTTGTTTCACCTTTAACCAGGAGGACATGGTGCCCACAATTGAAGAGTATACTACCCTACTGCACTGCGAAAACATCAGACTAGAGAGGGCATATATCAAACACATCATATTAGAGAGGGCATATTCAAGAACGAACTAGCTAAGATTGCAGGGGTTGATGAAAAATGGGTGACTGATCGACTTCGACACAAAGATAACGGGGAAGGAATCGAGTGGATTCACATAAGGCAACTAATGAAGAACCACCCTGATGAATGGAAGACTATAGACCTTTTTGCACTAGGTCTGTACGGCCTGGTTATCTTTCCGAAGACTTTGGGCTGCATTGACACAGCCGTGGTAGAACTATTTGAACAACTTCCAAGGTAAGTCAACCCAGCACCGACCATCTTAGCCGAGACCTTTCGGTCTCTTAATCATTGTAGAAGAACTGGTGGAGAAAGGTTCATTGGATGTGTTCAGCTCCTTCAAGTTTGGATTCACAACCACTTCTGGAAGACTAACGAGGTTGCCTACCGCCGATTTAGCACCACCTATTCACCTTTGGGAGAATTCTTCACTATGAAATGGCATGAAGGTGCTACAAAGAAAAAATGGATGAAGGTCTTCACGCATCTTCAGGACCGGGATATTACATGGAGAACCCCATGGTTGTTCCTCAGTGATGTTCTTTTCAAGTGTGGGAATTCTGACACTGTGACCCTACTTGGACTTTGGGGTGTAATTGGGTATGCTCCGTTGTTGACACTTAGACAGTATGGGGCACGTCAGTTTGTCCCAACAACATATGGATTATCTATATCGGAGTTTGTGTATCACGGTGACAGTTATAAGAAGATGATCAAAGAAATAGCTGAGTCATGGAAGAAAGTATTTCGGATGGATGTCGTGGCTGCTAAAGATATGCTTACTCCGGATTATATGGAGTGGCGAAGATTGAGAAAGAATGATAGCATCCCGGTGCCAGAATGTGAGGACACCCGGACCATGGAGGAACATCTCATGCCTGTCCCTTCTGAACTTGAGATAACCAAGGCAGAGTTTGAAGCTGTGAATAACGAGCTGAAGCAGAAAATTAAGGAACTAGAAGCTGAACATTATCAATGGAAGCTAGATGTCGACTCTTAGAAAGATAGAGCAGACAAACTGGAAAGAGAACAGAAAAGAGTCTGTTTTGAGCTCGAAGACTTGAGAAAGGGATATCAGGATAAAGTCAAGGATAACTCCAAGTTGAAAGTAACATCTGAGTATTGGAAAGACAAAGCTCATAGCCTGAAAAGAAAGTTTGAGGGGTCTGATGAAAGAGCTTGGAAGGAACAGTTGAAAACTGCTCAGAGGCGCTTAGCAGACAGTCAGTATCAAAACCAATGCTTGAGAATCCAGATGGCTGACCTAGAAAAACAACATGAGAGAGACGGAAAAACAATAGCCGAGTTGGAAGCTATCGTAGATGGATTCAAGAAGCAAGCGGCCGAGCTCCAGATAGTACCAT